GGTAAGTACCAGAGATTTAAAATCCTCATGCCACTTTCTGGCCCTGCTGTCAGATTTACTGTTTTTCTCCAAACTGATCAAGATGATTTTTACACAAACGCCACATTAAAATACCCAAACTAATCCTTCCTGGTTGCATCTACAGACTGTCCGTCTACCTGAGAGAAAGTGGAACTGGAGTCCTCTTCCAGGTCCCTGAGCTCGGTGCCCTGCAGACCCACCTGTGTGTCACCTGGGACTCCAGTTCTGGTGCGACGGCCCTCTTCATGAATGGCTGGAAAAGTTTGACCAAAATCTACCATGCAGGTTACACCATCCGCCCAGGAGGCACGGTTCTCCTCGGTCAGGATCCAGATTCTTACCTGGGTGGCTTCGATGAGAAGCAGAGTTTTGTTGGGGAGATCTCCGACGTGGACATGTGGGACTTTGTTCTGTCCAACGGTCAGGTCCAAGCCTTGTTCAATGGGAAGAGGATCCAGAGGGGAAATGTCATCGACTGGGAAAGCACACRGCTTAAACCCAGCGGGGACGTGAAGATCATCAACTTGTTCAATGGGACGAGGATCCATAGGGAAATTGTCTTCGAATAGGAAAGCACATATCTTAAACCCAGCGGGGACGTGAAGATCATGGACTATGAGCTGCAAACTGTTAAAGCTCTGCTTTATATTTGGTCTAATAAAATAAATATAAATCATTTTCTGGTCACTTATTACACAATCAGTGTTCATGTCAATTTTATTAGGAAAAAGAGTTTTATATTTCAGCACCTGCCCCTGTAGTGTTCTCTGCATGGCACTGCTCAGCCCACACACCCACCCACACACACATTTGCAAAGCTATTTGGGCTCATTCCATTGACTTCTATTGAAGTTCTACAGCCTAACCCTGACTGCTAACCTCACAGGTACCTACCTCACCCTTAATCTAACCTAAATTCAATTCACACCTTGGTCCAACACCCGCCCCCCCAACCAAYAAATGGCATTTGAACCCAATGGAGAATTGCCTTTGTCCCCAAATGGCTTGAAAGTCACTGAAGGCACATCCCCTGCACACACAGCTAATTAAACTTTAAATACTAGGTCTCTAAAGATCCACCCAAACTTCTAGCTTAAAACTCTAGTTTGAAAGGTGGCCAAGGTGCTTTAATGCCCAAAACTGTTACTTTTGAATTGCAAAAGAAGCTTGGAAGACATTAAAATTAGTCAAACACTTTGGGACAGGATGTTCCACATTTTACTATCAGTGTGAATGTTTTTGTCTTTAATGAATATTTTAAAGTAGATCTTGGCCACACAACTGTTCTGGAATTGGCTCCCCGTGCAAACTAAGAGTTGACTTTAAATTCCTGCTATTAACCTATAAAACAGCCTTGCACCCCTCTACCTCTCAGAGCTACTGAAACCATACGCTCCTTCGAGGGCTCTGAGATCATCCGATCAGATGCTTTTGGAGATTCCAAAAACAAGGTTGAAGCTC